GGTACCGAATATCGAAACGGCGGCAAACATCAAAGAGATGTCGCGTTTCCTCTAATGTCCATTTAGCTACTTTGAAGTATTTCTCGTATTCCTCATCTGTGAAGTCAGGAATATTGATAACCTGAATTTCAATGCACGGAAGTGGAAGAAAATGTACCGCAGACATATTAAAGTTACCTTGTTAAATTTAGCAAATGGATATGGTTCTGGGTTTTCAAGTTTATCCACCCTCTGCCAATGATACAACTGAAGATTATCATTGCGAGCCTCATTTATGAAAGGCACCCACTTGTATTTTCTAGCGGGGCGTCCTGCTAGCTGAAATTCGGAGGGCTGAACCGTGTTATTTTCATTTACTATTTTCAAGGTTACTTGAGCATTTAGTTGACGAAATCCTTTTCTGATTTCCGTTGGAACCACTGCGCCAGCTTCCTTTGTCTCAGCATTACCGATGAGATTATATAGCTCTCTGTGCATTTTCTCTGGGCGTTTAAACGTTTCTGGACGTCTAGTACTTGACTGTAATAAAAAGGAAGTTATCAAAATAATAAAACACCTGCAAGTCAACATCTTTAAAGTATAGAAAAGAAGATATCAACATAGAAAAGCACACCTTTTTATGGCCAGTGAGAGAGAGAGGTTTAGCAGAAGGATCATCTTTTTCCTTGGTCTCACCTGCAAGAATCGACTTCACGTCTCCTATCATCTGCAACAACTATGTTTGCAAGCTTCTAATCATGTAAAAATCATAAAGGAAGATATGCTGATACATTAAAAAGAATTTGTCCTGTAAGAAGAATCCTTCTCTTTATGTCTTATAAAAAGAGTGGTAACGTAAGCTATGCTGAATTAAAATATCAACAGAATATAGTAAAGAGTTTAATCTGAAGAGGAAAAACCAAGTATCGAAAAAGCTGTGAGAACGTCAAGATTATTACAGAAGTAGTTCGTAGTGCTGCACTAAGTGGGGAGTATACAAGCTATAAATTTTCTCGTGCGTAAAAAAATTAGAAAAGCATGGTAAATACCTAGGCAATTTCATGCAACATTAG